CCCAGATAAAAATCATTAACGAGGAGTTAAGATTTATCAGAGTGATGTCATGACCACTAGAGATCAGAAAATGTCGCCCATAGTTTTTAATGTAAAGCTTTTGTAATGTTCTGCTTCTGTCTTTTTAATGCTTAGAGTTTACATTTACGATAATTGTTTGGTTCCAAATATAATTTGTCGTACCTCTGCAAAGAGGTACATTTGCAAGCAGGGTAACACTAAAACTACTGATGATACTTAGTTCAAGGGTGAGACAATTGCAAAGAAACACACAGATCAGGAGCTGGAAACCGAAGTTCTTTCTCTTCCCATAATTCCATCACATCAGCAGGATGTAAGCTGACATGCCAGACCTTCCTGGCTCTGAGGGGGGCCCCCTAGGACCGACGAGACCTACCATCTTACCACCTCCCTCTCACATATCCAATAGAATATCTACAATGGTATTTCACCCTAGCCCTAAAGGGGTGCCGCTTGGATGAAGAGCAAAGTACTGAACCATTTCCAAAGATGCCTTTTCTTTTTTTTTGGTTGGATTTTACCACTTTCTTCAAATGTTCACATTTTTGTGCATGGATCTTTTTGGCATTTTTGATTGAAGGATATTAATATTTAATCAAAATCATCTTGGGGAAGTCAATCTGTCATCCTCCCCAATAAAACTAAGACGAGAAAAAACATTCTGGCTTCAAAATTTACCTGGGACATTTTGTCATGCAAATGTGTGTGGGTTTGGTGTAAATAAATAATCAATATTGCATTTTGATGTGATTCTTTTGAGCTGATCCACATGAATACATACACTAAGAGTCTGGGGCAGTTATTGACCCAGCCTGCAGGTATCCCAATTCATTTAGGTTTGTGTAAATAATTCATATGCAGTGTTCTTGTATTACAGTTCTGAGTCATTTTTTTAGGGGGCAGCCATCATTCCATGTTTAGTGTCACAAAGCGTTAACAGTTGCACTCTGAGCAAAAGTGGAGTGAGTGACAAGTGCTGGGTGACACGTCTCAGTTTCAAGTTTAAAAGGACTTTTAAAAGGATTATGGGTTTATTTGTAGTCTAATAAAGAAAAAGAAAAAAAGTCCTGATGATTTTGAAGTTTTAGATGCTCATTATACATTTGAATGAATTTCTGTTTTTAATGCGAAGCAAAAAGCTTTTACATCTGAGGAAACCTTCAAAATAAGACATAGCTTACCTCCTGTTAAATGCTGGGATGAAATTCAGGGAGCCTACACATGCAATTAAGCCAATACCAAAGCAGCTCAGGTGCCCTCAGCCCTCAATATCCAGCAAAAGCATCCCTCTGCAATCCTAAAACTGTAATTCCAGTTTGAGGGTGGGATTAGAGACCCTCACTGCACCATTTCCTTGGGTGTTCCCTTTTCAAGAACCCAAAGCACTTTAGGTTCTAGGGAGCATGTCCGTAAACCTATCTCCAAGTGCCACAGCAAAAAAGCAGCGGGTTAGGTTGCCCTGGGTGTCTTTGAAAGTCTTTATGGCCTCTTAAAACGAAGAGCCACACTCAAGAATCAGCTGGAACCTGGCTGGCAACAGACAGCAGAGCACAGCGGTTCACTGAAAAATAGTAAGTACTTTTAGAAAATACAAGCCAAGATTTGTACATCAAAGCATGGGTTTGGATTGTCCTCTTTTTCCTCTTCTTTTAAAGTCTCTATGTTCTACTGTTTGATAGTACGTAGCATGTTTCTGAAAAATCATGTATTGGTTAAGGTTTTAAATCAGAATTATTATTACCATATATTAAATTGATCTGTTCATATGGAAATTTTAACAATGACGTGCTGATGAAATATAACAATATCACAATTGCTTGTATGTGATTTGGGTCATTATGAATCTGTGTCTTATCATCTAATACCTAAGAATACAATTAGCATTAGAAACAGAGGGTCTTATTAAACAAAAAATGAGCAAAATGTTCCTCATGTCACACAAATTCCTCTGTTCTAACAGAGATCTGTTGGGTACATCACTCTCATGAGTCCTGCCCTTTTGCAAACTTATAAAATAGTCTAAAGTATTTGAATCCACTAAAAATTAAAAGCGCATACTCTGTTAAAAGTGGGAGCTTGGAAATTTAAGACAGAGACCTGGCATTCATAAATCAGCTCTCTCTTACCACCCTTGGCACAGCTATTTTCTCTCGGACAATTTTAGCCTGGCAGCAACCCACCACGTGTACAAAACTGTAAAACACGCAGGTACTTCAGTGTCTGACAAAATTTTGCATGATTTATTTTAAACAGATTCACCAGAAATGTGTTTGGTAGCTTTTAGGTGTAATTAAGCACCAAAAAAGTGTCAGTCTCAGAACTAATGTGACTAAAATAAAAAGTAAACAAAGAAGAAAGCTGTTTACATAATGAAGGCATCAAGCTGTTTTTATCGCATGATGACAGGTGATATTTACATAAGAAATTAATCCATTTGGTATTCTACCTGTTGAGCTAATTAGATGCTTTAATTAAGTATTTTTTCTGAATATATTTCTAATTAAGACCACAGAGTGCTGCTATATTGTTATGCTGACTTTTTGGTTTCAAGAGATTACTTAAGTGAAAATTGTGATTGCAACACAGTGAGTAATTCTTTAAAAAACATTTTTTTTCGTATTTGCTGTATTGTGTCTAATGAATTGACTTGTAATCAAATATCGTGTGGTTCACCCTTAGCAAAACATCTAATTTGTGTTACAGTAAACTATGAAAAGATTCAAGGGATTGGCGAACAAAACAAATTCAATACATTTGATAATATAAACAAGAAAATTTGAGCCTAACACATTCTAATAGTGTGGTGGGGGAAGTAATTATTTAAAAAGAATTCCAGGCTGAAAAGACAGGCAGACATAATGCCTAAAACGCTCTTTACACTATATAAAAAATCGTAGAAAACAAAGTCATAGTAATGTACATACACAGGACCAGGTCCCTAATGTATCTATGGCTTCACATTTCCTAAAAAATATCCCCCTTTTTCCCTTAAACTTCCAGTTCCAACAATGATAACTGATACCCAGAGCAGATTCACACTATCCGTCATACATAAATTACTTGCAAGACAGACAGGAACTCTCCTGGTCCCCAAAAGCAGTGGAGAAAATCTCCATAAAGACAGTTAAATGCACATTTGTACCACTAATATAAGAAATAACTTATGTCATGTGATCCGGAAATCAGACTGAAGACATACTGAAAGGGTATACAGTTTAACCAACCAGTTTTGCCTTGAATAGCTTTTACATGCATTGACATATTTTTTGCAGGGACAGAGAACCAGTTGTCAAGATGTTTAAGATTCCGAAAGCAAAAGATGAGCAGCCAACTGCTCCTGGGCAGGGTAAGTCACAATGTGAAATATATTGCCCATAAATCTGTTCCAGACAAGCTTCAGTAGGTGAAGCAAAACTGAGTTTAATGTATTACATAATTGGAATTAAGTTGAACTCTATAGGAATTTTTTCATCTAATGAAATGATGAGATAAACATGCATCTGATTTTATGACAGTGAAAATTAAAAAGCGGTCGAAGGTTCCTGGAGTCATGATCACTCAGTATGTGGAGCAACTACCCGAGGGCATGACCACCCCAGATTTCACCCGGAAACCCATTTCAGTCACACTTCAAGAGGGTAACGTGATTTCTTTTTTGATCAGACTTTCATTTCATTCAACACAGATCTCTTGTTAAATACCCCTTATATATTATTGCTGTCACCTGTGTAGGGAAACTGGCCGTCTTCAGAGCGATTGTAACTGGTACACCAAAACCAGATGTGACCTGGGTGAGAAATAACGGGGAAATCGATGAGAGTTACACAGTGGTCTTCGACACAAGCTCCGGAGAACACCAACTGCAGGTTGAAAATAATCACAATGTATCATTTATGTAATACAAAAAATATCCATGTTGGCAAACAGGTGGATACATTGTGGTTTAACAGTGACAAAAACAAAAGGTGCTGCATTACAGATACCCGATTTATGTGTGGATCAGGCTGACACCTATAAGTGCTTTGCCAGAAATGAGTATGGAAAAGCAGTGGTGACTGCCACTCTGAACATTATTGAAGGTGAGATACTTTCTGTGTACAGCATCAAATGGAACAACAACAAAAAAAACTAACTTCTGTCCATTTTTTCTGTTTAGTTGGCTTTAAAAAGAGCAAGGCCATGCAACAGTCCAGAACAGGTACCAAGCATAGATTCATTGTGGAAAAATTTCAGAGATGATCATTCACTATAAACTAACCATGATGACGGATGTGTTTTAGCTATTCGAGAGTTACCCGAAGACTACAAAACCAAATTAAAAAGCACGTAAGTAGAAAAATCTTTCACCCATCAGAGCTTGTGATTATGATTTTTTCTTTAGATTTTCTGCTTCGAATACCATCAGTCTTTCACTTCCATTTATTAAATGAATCAATTTCTCATGTATTTCCTTTACTGAGGGCGGACCTTGAGCCAAGAGAGGAGAAAAAGCTTGAAATCGATGAAAAATTCTGGGAACTCCTGTTGAGTGCTGACAAGAGAGATTACGAAAGCATCTGCGCACAATATGGAATCACTGATTTCCGTTGGATGTTGAAGAAACTAAATGAGAAGAAGATTGAGAGGGAGCAGGCACAAGAGCGGGTACGTTTCAACCCTGATGCCTCCTCAAAAAATGAACATCTTTGATTAAAAAAAAGGCAAATTCATTGATCACAATGACGTCAATGTGTGTCCCCACCCCCACCTAAAACAGGTCGTTGAAAAACTCGCTAATCTGAAGCCCATTGAATTGAAAGCTGACGGTGGTGCTGAGTTTGAGCTTGAAATGTCACTTAAGGACCCAACAAGCAAAATTTTTCTTTTCAAGGTGAGATTTTCTTCTGCCGTAAAACCAGGTTTATTGAAAGCACCCAGAGTGAATTATCATTGTGAACTCTTGTTTGAACAGGATGGCGTGATGATCCCTTTTGATGTAGACACAGAGGTAAAACATGGATTGAAACAAGTGGGAAGGAAATTTATGTTTAGCATAAATGGTATTAATCCAGAGGATGCAGGACTCTACCAAGTGGAAGTTGACGGAGTTAAGATTTTTTCAACTGAATTAAAAGGTAAGATGATACAAGTCATTACATAATTTGACTTTCTCAGTAAAGGGATGCACTGTATTACATTTTTAACTGGAACATTTTGCTTTGGGCAGTTCCGAATGCAGAGTTCCTGGTTAAGATTCAGGATGTGACGGCAGAGGAAAGAGAAGACGCTGTGTTTCAGTGTTTGCTCTCACATCCGATGACAAAGATCAGCTGGACAGGGAAGAATGCCCCACTGGAGCAAGGAGACAAATATGATATCACAGTATCAGAAGACATGCTGATTCACACTTTGGTGGTGAAGGACTGCATGCCTCTGGACAAAGGCATTTATGCAGCTACAACTGGAATGACATCCTGCAATGCCTGGCTTATAGTGCAAGGTAACTTTTTAAACTGTTCCATTACCCCCAAAACACAGTTAAAAGCATGTTTATAAAAGCTAATATTCCATATATATTTATATATATTTATATATATATTTTTTTTTTTATTATCTTTTACTTGGAATATTTGTATTAAAATGTAAATTATTTACAAGCTAAAAAATAGAATTTGGCCTGAAAAAGAGTGAGAACAGGTGACAAAGTACAAAAGCATCCATTTGGACTATGACAAGCTCAGATTATCATTAGCGTCTGACACGTTGTTAAATTACATCAGAATTGCATATGTTCAAGCATCAGTTTTATCATTCCTTTCAAAGTCTGTGAAATTTTCCCAAAACAAGTGATTTAAACACATTTAGATGCTACATTTGAATTTGATAGTCGTCTTTACATTTTTGAGCCAGAATAAATAGGAAAAAGATCATTCCGATCACAATGGTCAGTGAAGATTTCATCACAAAGGAGTTTTTCGCAGCAAACAAAACTGAAATCAGAAAAGAATAGGCATAAGCCAAACTCTTTTTTCACAACTCATTTACATTTGAATCTACATCCAACAACTATCTCTAACTAATGAATATTACGATTATAAACAAGACATAGATGCACGTCTGTGTTGGCATAATTTCGCATTCCTTGGCTGCCAGAGAAATCTTTCTTGGTATGTTTGATAAGAATTTTATATGTACATAAATACTAAATTAGAAACAGTAACACTAGACCTGAACATCAATATAACAATCTATTAATATTGTATCTTTATTTGTTAATATTTATTAATATTGTATCAATATAGCATTAATAGACCACTGACATTCTCCTGCCTCTGTGTCTTCATTAGTCGACAAAGATCCGAGCGCAGCTGGAAAAAAGAAGGTCCGTAAGACAACCCGAGCCGGTGGTGGTGGAGATGAACTTCTGAAGATTGCTCAGGAGCAACAGGCCAAGTTACAGAAAGAAAGAGACGAGCTGATTGCAAAGGCAAAGGCAAGAGCGGAGGAGGAGGCAGCGGCCGCGGCCGCGGCTGCGGCTGCAAAAGCTGAAGCTGACAAACTAGCAAAAGCAGAGGCGGAGGCCAAGCCCAAGACAAAGAAAAAGGCTAAAGTTAAGGCACAGCCCAAAGCAGACGCGGGAGGTGCAGATGCAGAAGGTTCAAATGAACCCTCAGCTGTAGATGGGGAAGAGGATGAGGAAGAGGATGACGGAGAGGAAGAGGAAGAGGGAGATACAGGGGTCAAAGAAGTGTCTGAACCAACAGATTCGGGACCGGCAAAAGAAGAAAGTGCTGACGCTGAAGAGGAGGAGCCTGTTCAAGGGAAAAGAAAGAGAGAGAGAGCAGGCCCTCTTGTCCCTGAAACTGTTATTGGTGAGAAGCATCAAAGCACTGTGACCTCACTTCACTGAGTCATGCTTTGTAAGCTGAATGTTCACAGAGCTGTGTTTCCTAAAGACCCAGGGGTTTACTTCACTGGGGGCCTATCAGACGTGACTGCCATCATTGGTACAGACGCAGAGCTGCTCTGCAAGCTCAGCAGTGAGGACTGCGACGCAATCTGGTACAAGGATGGAAAAGAGGTGACAAACATGAGATTTACGAACGACCGTTGTTTCAGTCCGCAACACGTGTTCACATATGTGTGCATTTCAGATAACAGCTACAGATGACATTTGTATCGTCAAAGATGGCTTTTATCGCAAACTGATCATCAAAAACTCCAAAGAGGATGATGCTGGAAAGTATAAATGTGAAGCTGACGGGCGTAAAACTGAAGCTGTGCTAAAAGTTGAAGGTAATATGATGGTTTGATTTGAGCATAGCTAAAATTCAGTTGTGTTGAAAAAGTGCCAAAAATAGTGTCATTTCCTCAGCTCTTTGAGTCTAAAAGCATTATTTTCCATAAATAATCCTGCTCCCATTATAGATCCCCCAAGAATCAACCTGGAAGATCTTGACGAGTTTAAGAAGCCTGTCAAGATCAAAACAGGAAAAGATGCAGCCTTCAAGATTCCATTTGTTGGTCGTGAACCCATGAAAATCCAATGGTACAATGATGGTGAAGAGCTGATGGAGGACACAAATATCAAGATTGAAAAGTCATCTACACACACCCGCCTGATTTTAACCAAGTGCCAGCGTAGAACCAGTGGAGAAATCAAGATCAAAATTAAAAATGAATGTGGAACAATTGAGGCCACCACAGAACTTGTTGTACTGGGTAAGTTTTGTCAAAACCTTTTTCAAGACTGCGTGTCCCCATTAAACAATTCAGTGTTTGAAATTAAACCATGAAACTTGACCATCACAGCGTTGGTTTTTCAAAAACAGATAAACCGACACCACCACTCGGCCCTGCGGATATCATTGAAAGTTCAGCCTCTTGCATCGACTTTAAGTGGAGGCCTCCCAAAGACAACGGGGGTTCACCTATCACCAACTATATACTGGAGCGCCAGCAAATTGGACGCAACAGCAAGAAGAAGCTGGGTAAGATTGGCTCTGAGCCTAAGTACCGTGACACCGATGTTGATCATGGCAGGAAATACTGCTACCACATCAGGGTTGAAACAGATCAGGGTGTCAGTGACGTTATGGAGACCGAGGACATCCAAGCAGGGACTAAAGGTGAGTCTTCTCAGATGTCCAAAATAGAGTATTGAATACGGTTTTATGCCTGACAGCATTTCATAGTTGGCATTTCTTATAGCATACCCGGGACCTCCATCTACACCAAAAATTGTCAGCGCTTTTAAAGACTGCATCAACCTTGCTTGGACTCCACCTGCTAACACTGGAGGGACAAATATTATTGGATACAACGTGGAGAAACGCAAGAAAGGCAGTAATCTGTGGGGCATGGTCAACCCACCTGATGAGCCTATTAAAGGTCCGCCATGCAACTGTTATGGTTTGGGACATGTATTTACTGCTTAAACACACAAGATGCTGTTAAGTACCATGTGTTTCCATGCTAACAGGAAAAGAGTATGGAGTGAAGGATGTGGTTGAAGGGTTTGAGTACGAGTTCAGAGTTTCAGCTATAAACATATCTGGAGCAGGAGAGGCAAGTACACCATCGGAGTTTGTGTTCGCAAGAGATCCGAAAAGTGAGTCACAAGTCACAACAGTTGTAATGTTAATATTTTGTTGTTCACATCATGATGTATGACAACCACATTGTTCACTCCTTCAGAGCCTCCTGGTAAAGTTAATGACCTAAAGGTGACAGACTCCACATATACCACTTTGTCACTGGGCTGGACCAAACCCATAGAGGAGGAAGGGGTCCAAGATGAGGCCAAAGGTTACTTTGTGGAGCTGAGACCAGCAGAAAAAACGGAATGGGATCGCTGTAACTCCACTCCCATCATTATCAACTCCTTCACTATTGTGGGTCTAAAATCTATGGCCATGTACTGGGTCAGAGTTCTAGCCATCAATGAGGGTGGAGCCGGGGAGCCTCAAGACTTAGATAACTACATCATTGCGATGCCTCCTCCAGGTGAGTCAGCAGAAGCTAGGAAAGTCTTCAATTCATGATTCTTTGTCGAATGTCTCAGGCTAAATCTTTTCCTTCATTATCACAGTGAGACCTCAATTCACCGACAAAAAAATGAAGAACTTTGTGGTTGTAAAAGCTGGGAATTCTACACGCATCAACTTCAACTTTAAGGTTGAGTACAGCACTCAAACTGAAATGTTAGTGGTATGGGGGTAGAAACAGCATTGGGTAATCTTGTAAAATATTTAATGCAGTTGTGTAACACATTTGTAAAAATGAATAAATCCAAGCTCAACTAAAATAATTGACTACAAATTAAAACTAAATCCAACAAACTACTTATCATACAAAATAGAGAACCCCTTTTGGATGCTCCACACGTGTTGATTTAGGTACCTTCTTAATTCTTAAATGGCTCATGATTTATTCAAACAGATTCCTCTGGAAAAGGTCAAGTACTTGATCCAGATGATAATGATAAAAACATCTTATCATTTGTCTTCGCACAAGCATCTAATACACACCTGATGAGTGTGGATGTGTGCTCTCCTTTGTGGCACCTCACATTCAGGGATTAAGAGGGAAAACCTTTTCATCATCATTTCAGGAGCTGAACCGAAGCACTGAAAGAAGCTTTTTGTATTTCGTTAAATACAAATTGAGCCACTTCTGCAACAATTCTCAAACCCAAACTCGTGTATAAAAAACTGATCATTTTACGTTACTTTACCACAATAAACACGTAACAGCCCACGTCGTTACTCTGTGTGTTTCACGTTGGGAACAGGCCTCCCCAATACCAGCGATCATATGGCTAAAGGACGGCTTGCCAGTGAGCAAAAATGTGACTGTGGGCAACACGGACACGTCATCACAGTTGATGATCCCCTCATCAGAGCGCCAGGACACTGGGGTCTACACCATAATCGTCAAGAACATCGTTGGTCAGGAGACTTCCAGTGTTGAGATAAGAGTCACAGGTAGAGTGAAAACAGATCCATGTAATCTGATCCTCGTAATGAAGAGTATGTTGCCATACAACATGCGTGTGTTGTTGTTTTTTTGTTTGTGATCACCACAAAAGAGTAAAGTGAGTCATCTCTTTTTGTTGAGAATTTTCATGGTTAGTAAGCCAACTGTGAACACTTGTAGTCAATATTTCAACTCTGTTTTAAAGCTAACTAGAAATATGTCAGTAACTCCCCATGGAGTTAAGATTAACATACAGGTAAAGTCTTTCCTACATGACTGTAGATGACCCCAAGCCCCCAGGCCCCGTGGAACTGGAGGAGAATGTGCCAGGAACTGTGACGGTCTCATGGACACCATCCCCAGACGAGAAGAAAGATGACAGGCTGCACTACATGGTCACCAAACGGGATTCTGTTAAACGTACCTGGCACACGGTGGCGGACCATCTCTTCAACAACAAGTACACTGCAGCAAACATCATGCCGGGAAGGCAGTATAAGTTCCGGATCTATACAAAGAATGACATGGGGATGTCTGGACCCTCCGAGTCACCAATCTGGGAACTGAACAAGAAGAAAGGCAAGTTTCATAAAGTGATTCGAATTAAGACTTGTGGCCTGAGCGAAGTTTAAAAATGTTTAAAAAATGCGATCAGTTTTTATCCATGAATAAATACAAATGTGTCGGGTTATAGGCAATTTGGAAAGGTACCTCTTTTAAAAAAATATTTCACCACTTGAGACACTGCTCAGATATTAGTAGTTTCACAGTTGAAATGTGTTCTATAGCCTTCATCACAATGAGTTGAAAATTTGTACCCTGATTCATTTATTTTTTCTGCCAAACAAACAAATCCTGACTTAAGTGTAACTTTATTTTACCTGTAATGGGTAAAACTGTGTCATTTATTTATTTTTTACTGGTATTAGTATTAAATTTAAAATTTCAACTGTATATACTTAGTGAACTGAACATTTTTTTTTTTTAGAAAAGTCAACGAAATGTTGCCATCAAATAGATATCGGTCATAATGTCTAACTACAGTTCTGTTTGTATTCTTCCAGAGATATTTTCTTTGAAGCTTCCTGATTCTAAGAGTTGTAACTTTGAGACGCCCCCCTCCTTCTCTGTCCCACTGAAAATGCACAAAACCCCTGAAAGCTACGAATGCTACATGAGTTGTGCTGTGACAGGAAACCCCAGACCCCATGTCACCTGGTACAGAAATAGTATCAGCCTCAACACCAACACAAATTACTTCATCACCAACACTTGTGGGGTCTGCTCCATGTTGATACTGAAGGTTGGACCCAAAGACAGTGGGGATTACACTGTGGTGGCAGAGAGCCCTCTGGGAAGAGTGGAGTGCTCAGCAAAACTTGTAGTTAAAGGTAAATCAAAAACAAATCTCCAGTTTGTTACATAAAATCTATTTGAAAAAGTGCTCTAACATATTCTCGTTTTCTTTCCTCAGATTAACATACTGAAATTCTGAACGAATCCTCCAGATGCAAGTTCTGTTTTAATAAACGGAGTTGGGATTGCCACTTAGAAACTTGACAGTTTTTATTTGTTGTGGGAAGTGATTGTAACGTGTTTGAACATTGTGTGATGGAATATTGAATTATGAAAGTAGAAATAAAGTGAAGAAAATACTGCTGAGAACAGTGTGAAAGAAAACACAGGACATACGACATCTAAATTGGAGAGGAAGTTCCTCCAGCAGGTAAAAAATGTATTAATTTGATGGATCCAAATCGTTTAATTCATTGTACCGACGGATGACGGGTTAAAAAGCCGCTTTTAGTGTTTGTGAATATAATAAAGATTTTTGATCCTTTTCTTCAGTGTGTCATTGACCATGCTAGGAAAATGGTACCTTACAGCTCTCTAAAGTCTATGCTTTAGCTTCATAGGGGCTACATCATTAAGAGGATTATAGGAATAATGTTGATATAAATGAAGTTATTTATACTATTTGATGGGGAATCTAAGATGTAATCAGGATATAAATCTATTCAAAACATTTAGTTACTAGTAAAAAATGTAAGACATTTAGCAGCAGGCATACGTTTTGTTCTTAATTCTTACCCAGTGATCCACAAAGTCAGAATAACACAATTTCTATCTTTATTCAGGTCAGTTTACTAGTTTCCTCACAAGTCATCTCTCTGAACAACAAACTAGTCTAAAACCAGATTGGAGGCTTTAGAAAACACTGTTGTCATCCTGACTTCCTGTAAAACTCTGAAACCCCAGAGAAAAAACGACAGTTTGAGGAACAGGCTGGGGTTAATGATGTAATAATCTACTGTACATTAGGTTTGCTCAGTTGTGGATTATCAACATCATATTTGGGACTGCCTTGAAAAAAAGAAAAAGGTAAAACAGATGCCAAGTTGATTCTGTGGAAACTGCACCAACTGACAACCATATAGTGCTATGCAAATGCACGCCAGCAGCTAAAATACAAAAGGGTCGAAGTTCTGAAGCTTTGCCAAAACAGACCCATATCTGAAAACACTTGCTGGTTTTCTTTGAATACAAATTACAATGAATATATTACCAAATAATACCCTCATAATTAACAACACACTGATTCACAAGCTGGCCATTTATATGTCTAAATCTAAATAGACAAAACTTCTATTGAAATTAATTGTAGGTGGTCTATTTTGGCCTTCAGTGCAGTTATACAATCAAAACCCTTTTTACATTTATATCTGGACATTTAGATAAGTGGTGTTTTTTTCAGCTATGTTAAATGTGCTGCAGAGTGGTACTGTGGGCTATTCTTTTAGCTTTTGTTCAGGAAATCCATGTGTGCTCCAATTGCTTTACCAACTGCCACATGACTTCAGACTCCTCTTCTGAGGTGAACATGTGTTTCCTCGCTTTCAGAACAGAGTGAAGGTCAGTTACGGAGAGTCATAAACAATGACATTTAATGTACGCGACCGAGCGCTACCTTTCAAGCAACTAGGTATCTTCCTGTGTGAGGCCCCGGGACAACCTTATACTACCAGTGGCCGTCCTGTTATTATTGACACAGCTCTTTAGCCTGAGTTTATTGTGAGAGGGTTTGACATTTAAAAGTCTGTAATCACACGCCAAAGGTATGAAAAAAATCCAAGTAGTAAAGCGACAAGAATAAACCATTTTGAAAAATGAGGTAATGCATTCTGTGTTTGATTACTCTCGCACTAATAAAAATTGTGATGAGTTTTCATTTTTTAGCACTTGCTGGGATATAGTTCCCCATGAAAAGTGTGCTCTTGTCTAATACGGACTTTGTTTTGTCATAATTTCAAAGCTTCAGTCTTCACAAGTTTCACATTTCATCCTCCTGTGAATGAGAGCAGCCATTGCTCTCGCTCTACCACACAACTGCTTTTTACAAGTCTTATATATACTCCCACACTTTATGACTCATCACCAGAACACAATGAGTGTCAGGTGGCTCAAAGTGCAAGCAACCTTGTCCTCATGAGGGGTCTGGAGGTAAATAACGCCAAAGTGGTAAAAATGTCCAACAACAATGTAGTTTGATATACCCACATGAAGGATGGAATAAAGAGAGGGAAAGACAGGTAGAGAGAGGAGGGTAAAGAAAAACAGACCAACTGACCAACCAACCTACATACATACATTCATACATACATACCTACAAGCATATACAATGTATATATATATATGGAAGGTTTCACACAAGGTTTATTTGTTTCAAGACAAGGTGAGGAAAAATTCACCAGATATTAGTTAATTGTTTTTCAAAACCATGAAGAAATTACACTTATAATGCACTGAAACTGTGATAAAATGTTTCATTACCTATCTGTTAAGGATATCCAGCAATAGTGTAATGTTAAAAAGAGTGTGAATATAAATTATAAAAAACCTTTTTGCCAACTATCTGTCGATTTCTACATATACCTAATGTAGCTAACGAATCATTCGGCTTTCTGCACAGAAATGCATCTTTCGTGGATGCCAGAATTTGCAGATCGTGGGCTCTCGATTTGAACTGCAGACAAATAATGAGATGAAGAAGAACAAGATTCATTTTGAAAATAGTGAATTTGAAATGCAAGTCTTCCGGAGGCTGTGACTTATATCAAAAACAAAAAAGCAATTCCCTTCTTGGCAAGCTTGATGTGTGACAACTTGGGAGCTTGTCACAGAGTCGCTGGCATTCCTGTAAGGATTTAATAGCTCGTAGACCAGCGAGTCAACACTCACATATCAGACTCGGAGGCAGCTCCACTGAAGAGGATCACAGGAGTACTGAGGTGAGTCCATCATTCATCCAACATGTAGCACCAGTCTGTGATGGAGGTGTTAAGTATTGAGAAATGGATGCAATGTTTAGCAAGCAATCCTAGATTTGATTTACTTAGAAGTAATAGATGAAAGATAAGTCTTAGATAATGGGGCTGCCTTAGAGGGTGCTGATGTGAACACTGAAATCATTTACATTTTATGTCATGCACGTTATTTTGACCCCAGTGGAACAGTTTACTATTTATGCAGCTTCTTTGTTAACTCCCTTAATGTCTTTTTGATCGTATGTAAATATTTAATCAACATTCATGTTAATGTAAAGATAAATGGAAGAGACATTCCCTGAAGTTTCAAAATACAAATATAACCATTATTCGGTTTAAATTATTGTAAGCTTTCTGTGGACAGCAGTTTGTGCACACATGCATCTTTGTAGAAAGTTGGACATTCCGTGCATGTTGGTGAAAGTCATAATTCACACTCAAATGTTCAGTCAAATATCCTTTAATAAATTCACATTTGGCTTTATACAGTGCAACAAATAAAGAAAAAGCTTACAGGAGCGCCCTCATGTTTCAAATGCTCTTCTCTATTTCTACTAATTGCAAACTGTAAATGCAACTGCAAGTACGTAGTCATCCAAGTTGAGCCTCAGAAATCTCACTTGCACGTATCAACATCAGCCACATGCTCTCTGCTCTTTATGATGCACGGGCTGAGTCTACAGTCCCCCGCTGTGAGCAGCGCTGCTCACAGAAGCAGCTGAATGTATCAAGCAGCAGGCAGCCAAGACCCTTTTAAAATAAATGCGTTAAAAAAAACACTTGTTGCAATGACCCAGCAGGTTTTGGAACAAATCAAACAGCAACTTTTCCAAAACAAATTTTAGACAATTTGGTTCATATATGGATGAAAGAACAAAAAAAAACTTTTACAAGTAGTATTCATGAGCCCATGATGGGCTGCATGGGAAACAAGTCATGAGAAGTCCTCCTCAGACAAAAAAGGTTCAGACATACACTGACTTGTTATATCAATTAAGTAAAGGTGTTAAAAGATAAGTCATTCTAAGTCCTTATTTCCTTTTTCTTTGCCCTCCAGCATTAGAATATGTCATTTCGAGCAATAAAAATTGCCATTCGGGGTGGAGCTGCAGTAACAATGTCTGCAGTGATTTACAGGCATATTAAGATGTTTGAGAGGGATGCTCACAGTTTTATGTGGCATGTGACCTATCATATGACAATCTAGTTTACTCATCTTCCAGCAGCCGTGAACCGTTGAAACCTTAGATTATGGCCGGCCTACACTGGGGCGGTGCTTGCTTTAAGCAAATACTGCAAAGGAGAGGCTATAAGTAGTCTAACAAGTCTGAAGTACACCTTATGGTTGAATGTGTCTGCTTTATTAGCAACAGTGTAGAGCTCCAAATTCAGCCTGGTCCGTCAGCCTTTTAGCCAGTTATTCATTTCCAATGGTTGGTTCACTGTCTATAGATATGCATATCTTAGCAACTACGGATGGCAGCTCTATGGTCTCTGTGTAAATATATATTTGGTTCATAATGGCCTCAATCCGCCATGAACAATAATTCTAAGACTCATTACAAAGAATTAAAGAAAGTAGGTGTAGCTGCAATACAAAAATGAAGTCTTTGAAGAGTTAATGTTATTAAAAAAGTAACATTTGAACCTACATTTACTATATTTAAACACAAACTCCTGAGCTACTCGGTAGAATAAATTTGATAAACGACAATCGTTTTGTGGTTCAAACCAAAACCAAAGATTGGTCCTGTTTTGCCTTGTTGTTTAGCGTGTTGGTTGGTTGGCTTAGTGTTAAAAACTAAATTTACAGGTTGAAAATGTAGTAAACAGCCCTTTTACTAGGGCAAAATGTACAGATGCCCAACCGAAAACAACAGTTTAAGAATCATTTCACATTTAAATTTCACTACTACAATGTATGAAAAAAAAATAATTAAAATGGTTTGATATGTACCTTTAAATCTCATGAAAAAACAACTGAGGCAGATATTACAGGTTCTTTTTCTTCTAAGCCCAAGTGGTAACAATCCACAAACCACACAGTTACAGTTGGCTATATCCCCTAAAGCCTTAGCAACACTAAATCAATTACAATTAATGCTGAGTCTATTTCAGTGCAGTGACATTTGTCCTTGTAACAGTAACCATGTTGGTAAAAAAGATTCTCATGTGCTGAGAGTGATCACTGCTGCAGAGTAACGACTGATCATAAAAAAGTTAATCTGATAAGGGCACAATCATTTCAACAACATACCAGGACACTGGGGCCTGATGTGGCACAATATATCTTATATTCTGATGCCTGTGGACCTGGATTGTGTGTTTAACATGAAATTTTGCAATTCAGTTAAAAAAAAAAAAATGTAATCATCGTCTGAACACAGGCCAATTCGCTGTCCACAAATGGAGATTCGTGTCATCAAGCAAAGAGGAAGCCATGTATGACCAAGACCGAGACATGCTGCCATTGGAGTATCTGGAGAGAATAAAAAAATTCAATAAATTATTGGTTTATAAGATGTGGGAACCACAGCATTTTGTCTCTGCTTAAATTCAAAAGACCATTCTAATCTAATCAACAATTAAGAACCCTATTCTCACAAAATAAAAAAATAAAAACACCCAATGGGGAGATAAAAAAAATGGATTTTAAGAGTGTAATGTCCGTGCTTTATTTTTCTCTGTAATCTGTTGCAGTTACCGGAAATTTGCTGGACTGACCAGGAATAACCAATATGTTTAGAAAATCAAAAGTGACAGATGGGACAGCCACTGGCCAAGGTAAGCTCTAAAAAAATAAAAATAATGTTTTTTTATTTGGAGGAAATAAAGCAGAAACCTGCTTTTTAAACCAGTGTTGACGATACATGTCCACGTCTTGCTTTTATAATTTTGGTTGCAACATTCCCAAGATACGCTAACAACACATAGATAAAAAGAACTCAAATACATTTTTATTCTGAACAAAATGGAAAAAAAATAATTAAACATCTGTATAGTCAACAGTATCTCCACGAGATTTCGAAGAACATCTCCTTATGAGTTAATACATAATAAATTAAAATCGTAATAATTTGAGGTATGGATACAACACAATTTTTACTTGAATGTCTTGCAAATGCTTTTCAAAGTTCATTTTAACTCTTTTGTGATCTAAATTTTCAGTAAAACCCATGAGCTAATATTTCTTTTACCTCTGCCATTCAGTTTTTGTTTAAAAGCGATGGTAATAATTGATAATATCTGTGGTGTATGTTTTTTTTGTTTTTTTTCCTGTGTATGTTCTTTAACGTGTGCCTTATCAGGTCCAGCTGCAGAGATTTGCAATGGTATAGAAGGTAGGCATAGGGAACAAAAGTAACGCTCTCATCAGGACTCTCGTTTACTACCACCTGCTCCCAAAGGCATGAAGAAGTGATGTAGACTGGATGCTTTTTATATACAGTGTGACCGTACATAAAGAATGTGCGCAGATATGTGAGTGCATCACTACATATCTGTTCTCAAAATGAATATGAAGCATGTTTTCCTACGGGAAAGATTTATAATAAGTGTTATTTAAATGTAAATGTTCTGAAATCAATAGTGCTATCCACACTGGAGCAACAGACGGCAACAAAAAGCTCAAGAGTGGCATTAATATGAGTAACATTCTAATATGTCACATATTAGAATGAGTTATCAGCATGGTCCATTTGGGTGGTGTTCAAAATAAAAAAAACAACAACAAGTCTCTGGGTTTTCCATCCTTTTCCTTGATGGAATATTTAATTTTACTGCCATTGACATTGCATTTTTCATCCCATGCTGATAGTGGGGATCAAGAAGAAGTCCAAAGTTCCTGGGGTGATGATTACACAGTTTATGGAGACGCTGCCTGAGGGAAAGAGCCATCCAGATTTCACACGCAAGCCGATTGCTCTGACCATCCAAGAGGGTAAGACAACACAAGAATTTTTTTTTATAATGGGACTAAAACTATTCACAAAGACCTGTTGGAAGCGTATGTGAAAGTTAAACAAAGATGTTCTGATGGCCAAACTAAGGATAAAATTATTTGAAACCAGCTAAAATGAAAAGCTTTTTTAAATCAATTTTATTTGACAAGTGTTTTTGTTTCTTCTAGTGTTAACCATGTTTTAGTTATGCATGTATAGAATAGTACTGTCAAAACATCAAGAAGAATATGAAGAAAAGTTTTCGTTATCTTCTTCCTATCAGTGCTGACCAGGGCTCCACTTTTCTCTCCCTCTCTCTTCTCAAAAACAGGAAAATTTGCTTTCTTCAAGGCCATTGTCACTGGGGATCCAAAGCCCACCGTACATTGGAGCAGAAATAATGGAGATGTGTCGGATACGTCAAGATACCAGAACAAATACGACCCAAACACCAATGAGCATACATTTGAGGCAAGTGGTAGGGGTTATCAAATTTGTCAGCCAAAATACTTTTTCATAGAGCTGCAGCAGAAATAGCTTACCATTTTTTGTAAATGGAGAAACTTCTAAGAAATATCAGGGTTTGCCAGTAAATAAATCTATGGTTATAGTGTAAGAGGATGTTTGAAAAGTTTTAATGGATGGCAGCTTCTGGTTTTGCTCCATCAGTCAACTTGAGGTTACTTCTGTAGCAACCATCCTTTCACATTGCTCCTAAGATTCTTTTGAAGTAGGGAGGCTTATAAAGTTCCTATAAAAAGACTACTATGAATTGCAATTAGTCACAGCTCCTGCGGTCTGGATATAAAAACAGAGGAGGCAGTGAATCTAAAGGTTATTGGAACTATAAAAGGAATTCTCTGGTATGAAAAACGTTGAAACGACAACAGCAGCTGGTTTAAAAAGGCCATAGATTTTCAACCAGAAGCTGGTAAAGCAGCCAAATAAAAATTTCAGATCAGTCTGTAAAACAACATGCTGAGGGGCAGCATATTTTCCCCAGACAGCTACATGCAGAGGCAGACCATTGTGATCATTTGTCCACATCAACATCATGTAGAAACACATTAAAACCTAGGCACCAGTATGCTCACTTTTTGGAAATCAGCCCTAAGTATACTGCACCCTACTCATGCAGTTATTTGAGAGTATATTGGACAAGTGTAGCATCTCTTTCTGATTAAAAAATGTATGCTATGTCCTATTGGCTGAAATAAGAAAAGAGGATATTATAGGGTCAGCTGACTCTGATTCTAAAAATAGACTTTGGTTCTAACCGTGTTGCTGTAAAAGCAAAAATAGCTGTAATAGGTTAAAGATTTTTTACGGAGCTTTCAACCACAAAGAAATGTAAATATATCCAATCAAATTAGTTTTGTTTGTAAGAGAGTAATTTCAATAGTATCAAAGCAAGTGTGTAATAGTTAGAATTTTCTTTTCTGTTCCTGAAAATTGTTAAAACGTCTTGTTCACTTCTTCACTTTGATACTGTATGAAACATTTTTAATAATACTGGTGTATGAATTATTGTTGACACCTTATTCTTATCAGTTTAGTCTCCATGTGGACGTTTGTGCCACATATAACCAAACGCTGAATAAACGTAAATGTCTCAATGAGTTTCAAGACTTTTTTTTAAAGGGAATAGGTTGAGAACCTCAAATTATTCACAATTCAATTACAGTGAAAGGCTGGGAAAATCAGCTAAATCTTTTTTAAAAAACTCTTTTATAGCTCACAGACTGCTAAAACTTAGACATAAATGACAAAAATAGCTAAAAAAAATAGAACCAACATATTCCGTATCTAATCCAATGAAAACAAGGTTTTATAGGTTATATTCTCAACAAAACCAATGAATAAGAATAAAGAATTATTAAAAATATATATTTGTATTCATAAACTGCTCCTATTATACTTTGGATGTTTCATATTTTCCAGATGCCAAATGTTAAGCCAGACCAAGCAGACACATATAAATGTTTTGCCACCAACGAGTACGGACAAGCCATGGTCACAGTTGTTCTGAATGTTATTGAAGGTAAGGACAGTTTGCTTGTTCTGAAGCACACTGTAATCTCACACATGACTGGGTTTGCATGCCCTATCACCGCTTACAGACTTACAAAGAATAAATACTTGTATTACACTCTTTATTACTCAATTAGCAGTTGCAACTTTGTTGTTCACCCACATAATGTCATTAATCTGTCCTCCACTTCCAGTTGGTTACAAAAAAAACAAACCCAACCAGCAAGCAACCACTGATGAAGATTTCAAGACTGTTTTGAAAAGGAAAAGGTGAGTTTGGGTAGATTAACCAGCATTTACAGCCAGCTGTGATTGTAAAGTAACAAGAGACTTTGACTAACAAAGACGTTTGAATTTATAGCAAGATCCGACCGAAATCCGAGCAGCCGCAGAAAAAGGAGGGAGAGATCGATCCTAAATTTTGGGAGCTGTTACTTAGTGCTGATAAGAAAGACTATGAGAAAATCTGTGTAGAGTTTGGAGTGACCGACTTTCGCTGGATGCTCAAGAAACTCCAGGAAATTAAAAAGGAAAGGGAAGAAGAGCAAGCAGCGGTCTGTGTATCTTTATTACATTTTTTAGGATGCATTTTTGAGGAAACATTACTTTCTGTTCTTCACAGTTATCTCTCGTGTTGTATTTCCAGTTCGTCAGAAGCCTGTCGGATCTGAAACACATTAGGGTCAATGCCGACGATACGGCATCCTTTGAGCTGGACATGGATCTCATTGACCAAAGCAACTCTATATTTTTGTATAAGGTTAGTGGCAAAATAGAATCCCTTTGATAACAAAAGCACTGTTAAGGAGTTGTTCAAATAAACAAGTCGCCCTTCAGGGTCCAAGACGAAAACCTGCAGAGATGCTTTGATATTTCTCACAATTAAGTTAGAGAACCAGATCATCACATTTAGAATAAAATCTATCTATAATGCAGTAAGCTGTAATAATGTCTGCATTTCCTGTATAGGATGGAGAAATGGTTCCTTATACCAAAGAGCTGGGAGATGAGTTGAAGCACTCCCTTAAACAGATTGGGAAAAAGTACATTTTCAGCATGAGAGACCTCATGCCAGAAGATGCTGGACTGTACCAAGTAGATGTAAATGATGTCACCATGTTTTCAACTGAATTCAAAAGTAAGCACATCCATGCATCAATCTGTGGGGTCGAATAAAAAGAAGGAAGGAAATATTCTTATTGTATTGTGCGACACAGACCAGCCTAAAATGCTGTGATCATGTCTTGTTTCCTTTTCAGTCCCCATGGTAGACTTCTTGGTGAAAATTCAGGAAGTGAAGGCCAAGGAGAGAGAGGATGCTGTGTTTGAGTGTGTTTTATCAAACCCCTTTTCCAAGGTTTTGTGGTTTGGCAAGAATATGCCGCTTGAGCAAGGGGAGAAATATGATATTGAGGTTTCAGAAGACAAGCTCATTCACCGTCTGGTGGTCAAAGACTGCATGGTTGTAGACAAGGGAATTTATTCAGTCTGCGCCGGAATCAAATCATGCAATGCATGGCTCGTCGTTGAAGGTGAGTTATCTCCCATCAGGAGGCTTCTAGATAACTTAAATTGCTCTAATTAAATTATATTGAATCTGTTCTTACTTTTAATGCCATAACATTTCCCACTCACTTTGAATATGTTCCCTTTTTCTAATTTAGCTGATAAAGATGCGCAACAGGGCAAAAAGTCAGCGAGAAAACCAACAAGGGCGGGAGGATCTGGGATGGATTTGCAGAAAGTTGCCCAGGAGCAGCAAGCAAAATTAGAAAAGGTTAGAGAGGAAAGGAAAGAACAAATTAAAGCTGCTTCAGAAGCTGCAGCAGCTGCACCTCCAGCACCTGTACCCAGCCAAACTCCAGTTACAGCTGAACCAAAATCAACTCCAGCTCCTGAACCAAGTAAGAAAGCCTCCCATAAAGTTTATGTGGCTGTTTGTTAAACACAAATAAGAAAGTGAGACTCATCTAAATTAGGTCTACTAGTCTTAATAGTGCTCTTTGACAAAGGTGGGCCCTGCTGGTTCTTAGCTGGTACAAAAAGTCAGATCTGACTTGGTTCCAACTGAGAGCTTCTTTGTCTTTTCACATCCAGAGAAGCACAACACACCATCATACTTACCTGACAATGAACGGGATGTGACTAACAATTAAACAGCAGGACAATAAGAGACATATGTCCACATTTGATTCAACTTGATATATTTGTGGCATTTTACTCATTTTCTTTATTCAAACCCACCCAAGAGTACCATGTTTTAATCTACGTAATGAGTTTTTGAAGTCAAAACACAGAACCGTCTCCAAATGAGTCCGAAATGGCACTGGAACTGGTCTGGTGCAAAACCAGACCATCTATCAACACGACCAAAAACTAATTCTCTGATATCAGTATACCTTGATGTGGTTCATTGTTTCATATATCAGACATGTTTAAAACAGGAAACAACACTGTTTATCTGGCTTACAGCAAAGAAGACAGAACCCGATCCGGTGCCAGAGGTGAAGAGCACTGGTGAGAACCTGAGATGCATGCTGGAAAGAACTTAAGAAACTGTTGAAAATAACTTTGTTTATTTGCATAATTCATTTTTTTCATTTTTGTGTCTAAATGTTCTTTAAACACCCAAAGAAATGTTACCTCATTCACACATTAGATAAGCAACAGTGTGGATTTGTTTAATAAATGTCAGTCTTTTACACAATGGTCACTTTCTGACTTTTTAACATGTATGTTAAAGCGTAGAATACAATGTGCTTCCAATGTGCACAATTTGACATTTTATAAAAAGTAATGTAAGAGTAGACCTTGTGTTTTAACACATAGTCATAACATGTCATATTATGAATATAATAGCATGTTAGACCCCTAATGGTTGCATGAACATAGGGGCGGATGGAAGCAGCAGAAAAAGTAGATTTTTCAGCATGGTTGAGATTTTTGACCAGTGATTTATACAGTCAGAAGTGTTTAACAGCAAACGTATCAATTAAAAAGATATATACAGTTTTAAAGCATAACAACAAATGAGTGCTAGTGTTTATCTCTTGTTCATCACACTGAATCCGATTCCCATCTCTTATTGTTATGGATCAGCAACGTTTTAAAACTGACACGGATGAAAAGGGTGCTTGTGTGAGAGGGGCTACGGTGTTGTCTTGTCAGATCACTATTTCATCACCTGCCTCTTTAAAAGCACAGATTTTGTTTAATATGCAGCAATTGCTTTGAGCAGCATTCAGGCCCTTTTCCATCTTTAAAATGTTCATTCATTTCTCTTGTCAAAGTTTTAAAAGTTCATGTTGCTTTGCAACTTCACAGAATTTAAACAAGGCCAAAGGATTTGAATGGGACAGTCTTACATAACCTTGTTTAATATATTTTATTGAGAATTTCTCATGGTGAGAAGCCGCTTTTTAAATTAACAGAAATAAACCATGGTTTCTATCAACTTACTGAAAGAATTCAAACTATATCAAGCTAGTAACATGTTTTTGTTCATCAGGAGAACCAACAGTGGCAGCAGTGGAAGAGGACACAGGAACTGGTAGGACCAACTGATTAAATGCTCACTAACAGTTTAATCAGGGAGTATTACGAGATGCAGATTTAAAAGATTTACTGTTGTTACTGCTGTCAGGCCAGACACCTGAGGAAACCAAGTGTGAGGAAAAGCCTCTTACAGACAGCGCAGGTGAAATGGTGTTTATCATTCCACTGAAAAGACTAATGGAATAAAGATCTGAATAATCCCAAAGCTCCTTGATATGAAGAATCTCTTTGAAATGTTCTAATATTTTTCTGTGACAATTTGATTTACCAACCTACCATGGAGTACCTATTGTAAGCTACGTGAAAATGAGTTAAATAACATATTTGTGAGTTCTTTTTTAACATGCATGTGGAAATAGTTCAAGCTGCTTTTAATCTAGGCAATGCTGTGGTTCTAAAAAACAATAATTCATTGTAGTTCTTCAAGTTATACTTATACAGTTTTTTTTCACACTATCCTCACAAACCATTAAAAACCACACTAAAGTATGTCTTTGTTTAATAAGAGTGTTCTTATTTAACAGTTTAGCTACTTGATATTGCCATTATATATCACTGAGCAGGAATCTAAGGCAAACATGTCAATGACTCATTCATACAAATCATAATGTGTGAGCAGACATAAAGGAAAGTAACTTTATTCTTATGCCGCATAGCGCTGGGTATTACAAAGGGACTTTCTGATATCTACGCTCTTCGTGGAAAGCCAGCTGAATTAAATGTGAAGATGAACACAGAGTGCGATGGTGCCTGGTCCAAAGATGGAGAACAGGTAAAGTCTATAAGCAGCTGCAGCCAAACATCTATTTAAGCACACTTTCTGTCTTTTTCAGGTCTCATGGGTTTACATAAAAATTGGAGGCTGAAAACTTGCCTAAAAGTAAAATTATGACATCATAACATGTGGATGCTGGATTATTTTTCCATGAGAATGGGAAGGAATCGACACTAAATTTGAACAGTTCCCAGAATAACCCATTTTTAGAACTAAGGGACAGGATTGTGTTGTTGTTTTTTCCATTTGAGCTTGCTTCAAACAGCCCCAAATTATCCAGAAAGTGCAGAAAGTACTGTTTCATAACACACAGACAGAAAATCTACTCCAAATTTCATCAATCCATTTTTTTGGTTTGTGGTGACAAGTTTTTTCCTCATGTAACAAAAGCTAAAAGGATATGATAGAAATTAATAGAATCAATCACTGAAATATCTCCCTTTGTCTATGTATTGCTAAGAAATTTCTAGTCAGCAATAATATATATATATATTCAGTGCTGTTTCAAGTTTGACTTCATCTTATGTTTATAAAAGCACACAAAATGTTCCAGAGAGAAGTTTGGATGTTACTAAATTATGATGTTACTAAGACTACCAAACAGCTCTGCACATTGGTACAGTTTTATCTTTCCCCATAACAACAATGGAACGTTCTTTATTTTCCATTTGACGTTATCACTGTATAGAAAGCAAAGTTTTAATGTTGATTTTCCTTTTTTGTGTGACTTGCAGCTAAACACAGGTGCTGGTATCAATATCGCGAAAGCGGGAACTTCTCACAAATTGACAATTCAAAGCTGTAGAGACGAAAACTCTGGACTCTACCAGTTTACTTCAGGGGAATTGAAAACACAAGGAAAGGTCACAGTCGGAGGTAAAATCTATTTTTCTCTTCTGGAGGAACACGTAAAAAACAAACAAAGGAGAGCTACAGTGCTGTTTGAGCTGACCGGTGCTTTTTTGCTTCGTAGACATACCTTTTTTCGATGAGGATGACCTTCACAAGTTCTCCAAGCCAGTGATAGTGAGAGTGGGCCAAAACGCCGCTTTCAAGATGCCCTTTCCACCTCAGGAATCTCTGGTGGTCAGCTGGTTTAAGGATGGAACTGAGATCAAAGACGGAGGAGGAGTTAAGATCATGAAGGAGCCGAATCACAGCCGCCTGCTGCTCAGGGACTGCCTGCGGACGGACGCAGGGGAAATAAAGATCCAACTCAAAAACCCATTTGGAGCTGTAGAGGCTACATCCAGGCTTATTGTTCTTGGTATGAGAACGCACCATGAAACCACCTCTCCCCTCTCAAGGATGTGTCACGTTTCATTCACCCATGTGTTTTTCTCACAGATCGACCGGATCCACCAGAGGGTCCTGTAGAGATTGTTGAAACTACTTCATCAATGATTGAGATTAAATGGAGCCCTCCCAAAGACGACGGTGGCTCTGCCGTAACCAACTACATCATCGAGCGCCAGCAGGCGGGACAGAGTCTGTGGATGAAACTCGGCGATGTCTCAGCTGAGAAAACTTCCTTCAGAGACAGGAACGTGACACATGGAAAGAAATACAGCTACCGGATCTATGCTGAAAACCCAGAGGGCGTCAGCGACTCTCTGGAGACAACTGAGAGCATTATGGCTGGCATATTGAGTGAGCACACGGAAATTAAGTCTGATTTAGGGCTCCTCTGCAAATCCCATGTTAATCTCTTTTAGGTTGTAATAAATGAAAATGACTCCTGATGGGTTCGGAGATTGCATCTAATTGCTCATCTCTGGCACAACTTTTACCTTCCGTAGACTCCTTAAGGCCCTTAAATTTATGCCATATATGTAATTTGTCCTTATTAGTTGTGATTACAAAGTGAATAACTAATATAAAGTCAATTCTAAGTCTCTCTAATAACTGTTTGTTATTTTCTAGTACTGTCTGGTCCACCTGGAGCTCCTCAAGTGGCGAGTGCCTCAAAAAGCTGTATAAACTTGACCTGGACCCCTCCAGAGGATGACAGAGGCGTGCCGATTATTGGTTACCAATTGGAGAAAAGAAAGAAGGACACAAATCAGTGGTTTGCCCTTAATGCACTAAATGACCCCATTGAAGGTTTGTCTGGACTGAAGCTTTGCAGCATATTTAGATTAAAGGATAATATCAAATCTTTTCAGTCACTTTCCATTAATATTTTCAGATTTGAAATATGCTGTGAAAGACGTCACTGAGGGGGCAGAGTACGAGTTCAGGGTTTCAGCAATCAATGAATCTGGATCTGGAGATCCAAGTCCTCCATCTGCGCTGGTGTGTGCAAAGAATCCGAACAGTGAGTTTTTTCAATTATGAATGTTAGTGATTTATTTCCTTACAGAGTGGTGCACATTTCTGTATGAATTTTTATTTTTGTGTGTCTTCCATCCAGTGAGGCCTTGTTTTAAAAACCCAGAGGACTTTGTCGTTGTCAGGGCAGGAAACTCTGCTCGTGTTAAAATTTGCTACGAGGTATGCATGGACCGAAAATCGGACTATTGAATATTTTCCAAGTATTGTAAATTCATCCACTCAATCATTCCTGCACTCGTATTTCACTCCCCTGTCCAATTGGCTCCCACTGATACCTTATTACTGAGATACGCTAAGAATGGAAAATTGGCACTTGCCTCACACTTTCTGTGATTTATCGGGTATCATTATCTCCAGGCTGAACCTCCACCTCAGATCACTTGGCTGAAGGATGATGAGCCAATATCCCCGTGGATTAATATCGTCAATACAGAGGGAATGTCTCAGCTTGTTATTCCCTCATCAAAGCGCTCAGATTCGGCCGTCTACACCATTATTGCCAAAAACTCTATGGGTGAGGCATCATTCGACATCGAAGTTAGAGTCACAGGTAAGGAAAAGTAATGAAATATCTCACGGTTATTAGAGCACAACGGTTTAAAGATGTGGAGTATTTGTTGATCTGACACCACCGCAAGCTAATTCTATGAATTACCTAAATTCACACGGCAACATAACTGGACAATTTTTTGTTGACTAAATGCCAGAAACATAGGATTAACTCATTTGATACTGAGCTTTTACTTTGATGTGAAAAATAGACATGATTAAAAAAATCCCATTAAAAAGTGATTTTCTTCCCTGCATAAAAATGTTGATTCATTGCAAAAGGCTTAACATTTCCATTTCTAGAACATATTTTAATCTAAACCCATTGACATGTGTTCCTAGATGAGCCCAAATCTCCAGGTCCAGTGGAGCTGGAGCAAAGAGTCCACGATAAGGTTGTAGTATCATGGGCTCCTTCTCCAGACCAAGAGCTCGATGACCGTATGTATTACATGGTCTCTCAACACGACTCCAACACAAGAGTCTGGAAGACTGTGGCAGACCGCCTCTTCACCAACACGTACACGGCCTGCAACATCCTACCTGGAATACAGTACCACTTCCGAATCTATGCCAAGAATGATATGGGTCCCTCAGATCCATCTCAGTCACCTCCATGGGGCATCAACAGCAACAGAGGTGTGCTGGTTATTACAAACTGTGCTATGACATTAACCAATCATGTAAAAAAGCAGTATCACTAAATATTTAAATTTCTAGGTATACATTGTTATGACAAAATTATGTCATGAAGTTGAGGTACCTCCCATGACAAAAGCACTGATTTAGTCAGACATACAAACATTGTAATCGAGCACTTTCCAGGGCCCAGCTGGCTGCATTGTGTCTTGAGCAGTGTGTTAAGAATCTTTGGTTTCCTTTAAATGGAGTGGTAACACAGAGTTATGCAGTGATACCTGGGTGGGGGCCTTTCTTTGTGGAGTTTGCATGTCCTCCCTGTGTCTAAGTGGGTTCTCTCCAGGGAGTCTGGCTTCCTCCCACAGTCCAGAAACATGCATGTTAATTTAACTGGTGACACTAAATCTGCCCGTTGGAGTAAGTTAACTAACTAAAGTTATAATTGGGCAGGTTTGCCAGCTTACATATTCAAAGAGTTTCTATTTTATCATTTTGAACTACTAATTTGAGTTTTCATCACATTCATGTCCTGTTCTGGAACATCAGCATGAGTGGTGAGACATCCCAGAGTTTCTTGATTTACTTATTTGAAAAGAGAAATATAAGAAATCACAAACTCCAAAATAAGAATTATTTTGTCTTTGGTGGGCCAGATAGAAGAGCACACATTGTATTATACTACAATCCTTTTTTAATGTTATGCATATAGTATGTAAATGACAAAATGGCTAAATATGCATTGGCTGATTTTTGGTCTAAATCAACATTATGTGGCCATTAGAAGTAACTTTGGGCATTACTCCTCTTTTTACTTGAAGTACCAGTAATCTCAAATGGAGTCATCTCATCTGAGGTTTGCTTCGAGAGGCCTCCGTCCATCCTGGTCCCTTTGAAAGTCCACACACCACCGAGAGGTTACCAGGTCTACATGACCTGTGCTGTGCGAGGATGTCCCACACCTTCTGTGTCCTGGTACCTAAATGGCACCTGCATCAACTCAGACAGCAACTACTACATCACCAATGCCTTCGGAGTGTGCTCCATATACATCCTCAGAGTCCGACCAATAGACAGCGGTGAATACAAGGTGATTGCCGTTAACTCTTTGGGCGAGGCACAGTGCTCCACTAAAGTCATTGTTAGAGGTAAGTCATCATTGGCCTTTTTTTCTGATTATGGTTTATGAAAGAAGTGTTTTATAATGTTTGTTCTTTTTCTCGTGCAGATTGAAGCACTTGGAGGACGTTTTCAAGCTTTTTCTCGGAGTGTGGAGAACAGACGTGGAAAGCTTTGTTAGACTTTGTAGACAAAATTTCAGAAGCTGTATTGTTGCTAAATTCACCAGAGATAAAACAGGGTTATTAACAATTGTGATTATTTTAAACGCAGACTGAGTGAAGTGATAGTGAGTAAGATAAATTTGTTTGTTTTTCATGTTCTTCCAAAAACTTCAATAAATCAACAAAATGACACAGCTCTTCTCTTTTTTTATAATGCTTACCAATAACATCTAATTTTCTCTATTGACCAACTCTGCAACCATCATAGAGAAACAGGTCTCATTAACTTATACTGCCATACAATATTCAACACTTATGAAAAGGGTTCATATTGTCACTGCGTTTCCAAATATATCCAAATAAGATCTACAATAAACTGTCTATAAAAAGATCCATGGCCGAAAAACTTTAAATGGTCCTTTTACTGCTTACAGTCAGCTGTTATAGGGGAGCTTTCAGAAACTGATGTGCTTATATCAGAGGGGAAGGATTAATATAACTTAGAAAATGCAATTTAAGTGCACAACGCAACATCTTCAACAATAGCCAACCACAAAAATCAAGATAGCCAGTCATGGCCTGTTCTCTCAACGGGAAAAGCTCACCACCAATGCATATGTTTTAACACTTTTTGATAAGATGCTTGCCTATTCACATTGTGTAAGCACACTTGCCTCATTTCCTCTGTTAGGTCGAAGGTTACATTTGTGTTTATCTCCGTCATGCCATTAGGCTTTCACAGCCGCTGCGTTAAGTTTTTTAACAAGCTCGAGGGTTACTAGTCAAACTGGTGGGAAATGTCATGCGTATTTAACCTCTGAGAATGTAAAATGAAAATCCTGCTCACTGGACTGTGTTGAGGGCATCGCAACTGCAACAAGCAGCCATCTTTTTATGATGCTACAGCGGGTCCAATATGTGGCACCAGCACGCCTCCATACACTGTGAGACTTTCCGTTGATACACATGGAGGATAATTGGAACAGTGGCTCCATTAATTCCAATCTGATCTTATTTTACTCAATAAACTGTCTCATATTAATGTTTATTGAGCAGTAAAGTCCATACTTAAGTAGTCATATTACTAAAGACCTTGTAAAGCTGCCAGTCGAATGCTTTTGGTTGGATGGTCGGTATGTTATATGTGGAAAATTATAGTCCTTGTGTATTAATATATATCTATCATATATAAATCATAGAACCTCGACTGTCAATAACTGTAAAATCCGTCAACGTGATGTCATTAATGATGTGTTTTACTCTTGATTCTACTGTAAGATGTTGTTTTCTTTTAATACTCTCAACTGTAACAGTAGAAAAATGTTGACTTGATATCACCAAAAGCAGACTGAACGATGGGTCAGGATTTATTTCCAGTACCATCTGCAAAGTGATCGCTTTCATAGAGATGAGTAAGAGGAACCTCCTCTCGGTATCACTGTGGTAAAATGGGTTTTCACCAACAGCCCATGTAAGGGTTTCTATGCATTCCAAACTTTTATCACTGAACAAAAAGGCGTGCCACATTTGAAATTCTTCATTGTGGATGGAGAAGAAGCTAAAGGAGGATAAGAGGAGCAGCGCTGAGGAAGACCTGAAGTAAGTAAGCCTTTCTTCTAATTCCGTTCACAAATTTTAAGTCCCTGCTGATTTTTACAAAGTAGCTGACAAAAAGCATCAAGGACATTAGAAATGGGTGATGCGATCGTGTTGATGTCATACAGAATGTTTCAGTTGACAAGCTACATGCACTGTACGGAAAACAAACCTTGCTAAATTCTAAAAAACGTCCCATGTTCACATCGAAATAATATATTACAATCTAAATTGAGTCACTTGACATGACCTGATTCTTTTATGTTGATGTAAAACATATTACTGCACTCGACCGAGCCCGAGTTCTTTGCCTTGATCCAATTTTTCTGCAGAAGAAGAAAAAAATAGCAGGAAATGTTACCTGCAAACCAATTGAAAGGCGCATTGACATAAATCAGGACTTAGAAGACGAATGATCTGGTTGTTCAACTGGTCGACAAATTCCTTTTTAGGACACATGTTAGCAATGACATAGATTAATAAATATGGTGGCGTCTAAATACATAATTTTGTCATAGACTCAGTATATGGTGCTTTGGTACAATCTATAGACTATAAGAAAAGTCAATCTGCTGTAATAGAAAAAAAAACTCCGATCTGAATCTGATATAAGATTTAGATGTTTTAATTTATATTTTGTATACGTGGAATATTGTAATGTACTGTAACCCCAAAATGTTACTTCTGTCCTGCAGTAAAGTAATGGGAATAATTATATTTAATGAAGTGTAAAATGTTGGAAATAATGTTACAATCTACATTCAGGCTATAAAAAGAAGAATGGTCAGCCTCAGTTAATATTACCATCCTAACAGTGTAGGTCATATAGGAAGCTGATCTCCACAGCTGGATTTCAGTGACCGACAAATGAGCTCAGCCTTCCAAACAGATGTGTGAAACATAAAGACCTGCCATATTTTTCAGCTGTTCTATCGATATCAGTCTTAGATCCTTTTTTTTCACCTTACTGGTCTTCTGTTTGTGTCTGGAAGAATGTGTAAGAACATTGCAGAAAGCCCCATGGTCATAAAACGTAGCATTGAAAGCTCATTTAGTTAATTGAAAGCCTTTCAGTGTTTTTGATAACGAAGGAATTAACGCAAAAGAAATAAAACTGGCCCAAGAAACACTCGCTTTTGGTCGTAGCCCTGCTCTGTTACCTGTGAAATTAAGTATTTTTACATTTTTATCTGGAAAATGCCAATTCTTTATCAAATTTAGAGCAGAATTGGTTTTCTAGTTCAATTTAATTTAAATTCCTGTTATTGTAATGTTTTGATTTGTAATTCAATTTCAACCTTTTGGAGTTAACATTTGCTATGCAAAAAGGAAAGCCGAAAGTTTAATGGAAAGACAGTTTGACCCCTTTCTATGTTTGGATCTTGTGCAGTTAAATTGCTGGCACAGCCAACTGACTCCGCAGGCAGTTGGGAAGAGTGAGCCACTAGGTGGGATTTCACATTCCCCGTTTACAGTGTCCTAGCATGTCTCCAACTGTTTGCACGAGTCACGCAGGAGTCAAAGCATGCCCACTTTGACAGGCTGATGTCATAGACGACACATGAGGAGCTCACCGGCAGTGTTCCTCAACCTTTCCCGCACTGTGACCCTGTTTTTAGGTGTCCCAGCTTCTCAGAACACCAAACTGAGTCATGTGACATTGGTAATACCCGTGACTAAGAAGGAACATCCGAATGAATGTATGAAAATACCCACTCAACAACTTACATGGAGTGGAGGTGATAAAACAACAAATGTACTGGTCAATTAAACTCTGTGGGAACCCCCTTCCGTACAAGACAGCTTTAAGTATTTTTAAAAAAAAGTAAACTTCTCAAATATGAACATTGACAATCTGATTGTTTTAATCAATTTCATTAAGAAAATGTGTAATCTTTAGATTACACCAACTGTTAGACACTCTACTACTAGTATGTCCCACTGATACAAACTGGAAATATACCAAATCAGTCAAATCTGAATGTTTTCACCAAATCTTAGGCTGATTCTGAAAGTGTTAAGATAATCAGAAAGACACACTTAAAAGTAAACATTTAAGTGAACACATATGCAGAAAAACAAATGCAGCGCCCTCTGGTGCAGTGGATGCTAAATAACTGACATTCTTTTTCAGTTACACTGTAATTAAATATCTGGATTAAGGATCAACAATCAAACTGCACCATGAGTTCAAAAACTCCCCAAGAAACGAAGCAAGGTAAGTCCGGGTTGGTAAACCAACCACTTTTCCTTTCAAATCACAATGTTATTCTACCCACAAAATATGTATAGTGTGAGTTTGATCATTCTGATAGAAACTAGAAAAGGATAACTGCAACTACTGTTACTATTCAAGTAGATAACAATAGAGGCTCATAGCAACATTGAATCCATTAAAAAAAACTCAACACATTTTTTTTACGAAATTACAATTTTAACTGCCAATCGAAATAAAGGATCCTTTTCTTTCCTCAGTGGGGCAGAGAGAGGGACAGCTTCTGAGTTGAGCTTCAGAGTGTTTGTGATCAGATAAAATCTAAATTAGTCATTTCTGATAAACTGTTTTGAAGAAACCAATTGATGGAGGGAAAAAAACTTTTCCCCTGAAATGATCCAGTTCTGTCTACAGGTCCACCATTTATTTAATATACAATTAGCATGACAATAGACGTGATTATAACAGGTTACAGACATTTTGACACTAACCAGAGCAAAGTATTCAAATATTCAAGTAAATGAAAAGCTTTATTTTTAGAAGTGACAACTGAAATCTCTGACAAATCATTTGCTAAAGGAGAAGTTTGAACTGTATGGTAAACACTGAATAAATCTGTTCAATCCACTTTTTTCCCCACAACTGACAACGCAGACAACTCTTTCTACCAGTAAAACCTAAACATAATGTTGATATCCTGTTGTTTTGGCCTTTGAAAAGGAGTTAAATGTTCCATTAACATATGCTCTATGAAATGTGTATTATTAGAATTTCACCTCCCAAGAAATATCATCTTTAAGTATCTGAAAGACACCAACACTCATTATAAAGGTGACAGGGGATTGGTGAGTGGTTAATGACAGTGTTATCTGCTGTTACAGCCAACAAATTCTTGTTGAAGATATTCTCATGTTTGTTACTGCTCAGAGCCAGGGTTTCTACTTGTAGAAATTGGTATGCAGAGACAAACCACAGACTTCTTTCCTAACTGACTTGGATTATGTGTGAATCAATGCTCGAGGAACAGGGTTACAAGGATCCTGCCTGCTTTCAGAAGATATAAGAATATAAACCAACCCCTTGAGAGATGACACATACTATTTGATGAATATTCAATGCATGCCTTCAAGCTGCAGTAAGGCGGCTGGAAAAAAAAACAATTATGCAAAATGGATAATTTAAAATGTGACTCACTGAGGACAAAAAAAAAGAAACAAAGTTTGCCCTGACTCCACCACATGTCAAAGAAAATCAAGACGAGTTTTGTGGTAATGTAAATGTAAATGGTTTTTCAGGGAATCTGTGTTGGTGTTTCTGTATTTTTTTTTTTTAGCATAAATACCTCCCTTCTTACATGTGTTCGCCTATAACCTTCTGCCTCCAGATCAGGTACTTGGTGGAGAAAGATCAGGCATGCGTGAGCGGAGATATTTTGGCAGGCTTGAGCCGTACTGGTATGATAATTAGTTGTTGGACCTATCCTTAAAAGGCAGCGGAAAAATCTCATAAAAAAGGTGACAGAAGCTACTCCGTCATTACAAGCGATGGTGTCTGTAGAGAAAAAAGGAAAACAGATGGCGGGTTGCTGCGTGTGACGCTGACAGCTGTTAGTTGAATTTGGAGTTGTTTACAGGACATTCTGTACCGATACGTTTTAGGGGACGAAACGGAGGGCAGATGTGACACTTCCTGTGTTCTCTCCTGTTTATGGCTCTAGTACTTTGAAAAAATAAGCAGACCACCTATAAAATTATTATCATCATTGCGATAGAGTATCTACATTCGAATAAATCAGTTAAGAAAATAACCTACTAGTTAAACGTGTACGAATAAGCAGATAAGCAAATGATGAATCACCCAATTCAATCAACGCAGCAGAGTTAACTTCTTTCAGCCTGTGGCTGCTGTTATGGTCGAATAAAAGAGAGGAAAGAGGGACCTCTTATGAGACAAAAGTGAAATTGCAACAGATACAGAACCATAAAGGGGCCAAAAACGCCCGTCTCACAAATCACAGACGCACTATTTATCTTCAGCTGTTTTAATAAAGGAAGATTGCTGATTCAATTAAGAAGTCTCTATGAAATATATGCACAAAACATTCTGAAGCTTAACTCCTAAACTTGATTAATCTAATCTCACAGTTTGACCCAAATGTTTTACCTTGATAAGTAATTTATATGCTCTAGAGGTAAGTTGATACATTTTTCAGCTTGAGAGTTTTCAAATACTCAAACCGTATCAAGTCTAATCTCTTGCCCAGGAATGTTTGGAGTTTTTAAATTATGCATGCTCTCCGCACAGATTTAGAATTTATGAGACGCGTTTTCTGTTTTCTTGTAGGCTTCCTGTTTATGTTCAGAACACATGCATATCTGTGATTCTGCCCTCCTAAACACTTTCCCCCATCTTAACAGTGGCTATCAAGAAGAGGTCCAGAGTTCCTGGGGTCATGATCACCCAGTTTCTTGAGATACTTCCCGCAGGAAAGACGACCCCCGACTTCACCCGGAAACCAATGGCTACGACTGTTCAAGAAGGCTAGAAAAAAAAAAAAAATCACTATTTTATGAAAACCTACCACTGGTGTGTGTCACTGTCATATGGCCTTCTCTTTTTCACCTGTTTTCAGGTAAAAAGGCATTATTCAAAGCAATGGCGAGTGGAGAGCCAGCACCTACTGTCACATGGGCCCGCAGTAAAGGTGACGTTGATGACCCAGAAAAGTACAAGACCAGATATGACGAAAGGGCTCAAGAATACATTCTGGAGGTCAGGAGGGGGGAAAAAAAGCATGCAACTAAAATATTTTTGCATGCGTTTTCCTCAGGCACATCCCATGAAACGCAATATAGAGGGTTACCTGATAGAGAAGTGTTTGGAGGGTTAAACACATGAACGTGCCTGGTTTAGGTCCTGGTTGTTACATGTCTCCATTAGACTCTTCTCATGGAAACACCACACCACAATTCACAACAATGAAAATAATCAATAGCTTAAAGCTAAAGTTAGATTTGCATGCCTCGATAATCCACGAGTTACACAGTTAATTCTTTGAGGTTAGTCTCCAATTGGGTACTCTAGATTTAATCCACACTTAACAATGTTGCTTTGTTAGGTAGTCAAGGTATCTCCTGACGACGCTGACACGTACAGGTGCTTTGCTACAAATGAATATGGAAAAGCTGTCTGTACAGCAACTCTGAACGTTATTGAAGGTGAGATTTATTGCTAAATATGGATGGGATTGAGTCAAAACAATACCGTACACATCCTTGTTCAGGCTTAGTTTGACTTGCTTTTGTCTTTGACTTGATTTTCTACAGTTGGATACAAGAAGAAACCCAAGGCAGGTATGAAATTGACCAAATATTTTTAAGGTGCTCATTTTTAGGATCCACTATTTCATTGATGCTGAAAAGAAGGCTTTTCAAAGTGCTGCGATGACAAAAATAATAAAATTGAGGACTTTTCCTGTATAAAAAAGGAAAAATCCTCTATATTCTTTGGTTTAAGGAGAACGTTATATAAAAATATCTAATTTGACAATGCCATCATCTTTTGTATTCCTGTTTATAGAAAATGGAGAGTCAACACAGGACTTCAGATCAATGCTGAAAAAAACGTAAGTTTCAGCCACAGATTTGACATGGCTGAAGTGTAACTTTTTTTCCACACACACCACACACGTTTGTTTCGTTTCAGTGCCGTTGTCAAGAGAAAGAAGCAACTTCCACCAAAGACAGAGGGAGATATTGATCCTAAACTCCTGGAGCTGCTTCTCAGTGCACCAAAGAAAGACTATGAAAGAATCTGTTTGGAGTTTGGTGTTACTGACTTCCGCTGGCTGTTGAAGAAACTAAAGCAGATGCAAAAGGAGAGGAAAGATGAACAGGCAAAGGTACTGCGTGACATTTATAAAAGCTGTTTTCATGTTGCATTTTGTGTCCGAACAAAACAAGAGGAAACACTCATCTAAAGCTATTCATGGTGTGCATATTAATACATTAACTGTGTATATTGTCTTAGGTTGTAGAGAACCTGGAGAATGTTAAACAAATTGAAGTGAAACCAAGTGGGAGAGCTGAATTTAGCTTCAACATGACCCCGCTGGATCCCAACAGTAATATTCATGTATACAAGGTGAAATTAAGTACTACTGGAGTAAAAAAACAAAACAGTAAGATTCATTATTTTCTAAGAAAACTGAGAAAAAAAATCTAACAGACAAAACTTTTCCTTCTGAAGGATGGGACTTCAGTTCCATATGACGACAATGAAAACTCAAAGCACAGCCTCAAAAAAACAGGTTCCAGCTATGTTTTCAGTATAAAAAACCCTCAACCAGAAGACGCAGGATTGTACCAGGTTGATGTTGAAGAGGCAAACATTCTCACCACTGACTTTCAAGGTAAAGCACAACTACTGCCAGGGTAATAAAGCTTAAATAAATAAAGCTTTGCTGTGGAAAAGAGGAGCCAAATTGTATTTATGCATCGGAGCTGATATAATAAAAGTTTGTTTTGCTGAAACATTCTCGTCCTCTTTTAGTGCCTGCTGTGGACTTTGTGAGTAAGATCAAAGATGTTAAGGTCACTGAAAAGGAGGACGCCATCTTTCAGTGTGTTTTGTCGACACCCCTCAACAGAATTACTTGGTCAAAAGTCGACACATCACTCGAGCAAGGGGACAAATATGAGATCACTGCCTCTGAAGACAAACTAACTCACACTCTGAGAGTGAAAGACTGTCAAATAGCAGATAATGGAGCATACTATGCAATTGCTGGCATCACTTCCAGTAGTGCATCTCTCAAAGTGGAAGGTGAGAAAACATTCTTTATCATTTCTACATATTGATAACACTGTACTCCTGACACTTGAATGAGACCATCTTTGTGATGATTTATAATTGTGTTTTTAACTGTAGTTATTGATTAATTGTACTCCACATTTGTGTTTTTACTCAGCTGATCCAAACAGTCGCAAAGACAAAACCAACAAGCATGATGGCCAGTCTAAAGGGCTGTCAGATAAGCAGGGAATGCTGAAAACAGAGGGAGATGAAGGGGACTCCACAAAGAATGCTTCAGCTTTACGGGGAGATGGCACTGATGGAGGAGATGGAAGTGATGGAAAAGGGGGAAGGGACGGTTTTGGTGATGGAAGCGGTGCTGGTTCTGGTGAGGGGACAAATGACGGGAATGATGGAGGCCAAGGCAACAGGGGGGGTATGGAGGGTATGGAGGGCATGGATGGCATGGAGGGCAAGAACAACAACGCCAACCTTGGGGATGGAGATGATGAAAACGCAGGAGATAAGAGAAAAAAGAAATCGCGAGTTGGTCCTTTGGTTCCTGACACTGACACAGGTAAAAGTCTTTAACTCACAGTAGGAACTGAATGACGTGGCATCCGATTAGCCACGAATGCTTCAGCTGTCGGAAAAAAATAGATAAACAGTGTGTAAAACTAGAAATAGCTATTTTGACATCTATAGTAATAAATCAGTAACATCATGTATAGCTCTAATACGATAGTTAAGGTCTAGCGTTCTCAATCTCAAATAAGGGACTTTGGGATTTTCAGAAATCACATTTGTTACAATGAGCCTGAACTCAGATGAAAATCTTTTACATAAAAATGTTTCAACTACTGCGAGTCTAAGAGTGTGGTGTGTCTGCACTAATGGATTGAAATTACATGTTTTTTTCTGTTGTTGGTGGAAAATATTTATGTAGAATATTCTGCTGTCTCGTGTTCTGACCACTAAAGAGAGACTTACTGTGAGAAGAAGAGATGAACCTGTAACCACATATGGACCTTACAGTATATCCTATAGTTGTCTACTCATGTTTGATTTTGTCGACTTTTTCTCTATACGTTTTTGCTTTTATGTGAGTTCCAAAATGAATATTGCTTTTCAGGTGCAGATAAAGGCGTTCGGTTTGTCTCGGGGCTGTCAGACACAGTTGCCAATGTTGGTGAACGAGTCGAGCTGTCCTGCAAATTAAGCAGCGAGACTTCAGAGGGGCGCTGGTACAAAAATGGGAAGCTGGTAAGTCTGTGATGCCAGAAACAGCTGGTGTACAGAACTGCTGCTGTTGGTCGCAGATATAACCTCATGTAAATGTGTTTTGACTTATTTTATGTTCCAAGCTCACAGGGGGGGAGGGCGTAGAGATCATCAAAGATGGTGCCTGTCACAGTTTGAAAATTGACTGCTGTAAAAAAGATGATGCGGCTGTGTACCGCTTTGAAGCTGAAGGGCGCAAATCAGAGGCAACACTAAATATTCAAGGTTGGATAGAAGTAACCCTGACGAATGCATCTGCAATACAACCCAGACTTTAAAAGGGTTTAGGCTTTTGAAAATAAGCTTATTTTTTTCCATGACATTACAGACCCACCAAAACTCGACCTTGATGCTTTAGGAAAATTCACACAACCAGTCATTGTGAAGGCTGGGGAAAATGCTGAGTGGAAGATGCCATTCTCTGGTGGGGCACCCATGACAATACGCTGGTACAAGGATGATGACGAGCTTGTGCCTGGCATCAACGTAAAGACTGAGACGTCAGACACTGAAAGCCAGCTCCGCCTCACAAAGTGCCAAAGGAAAGATTGTGGAGATGTCAAAATCAAAATAAAAAATGAATTTGGCACAATAGAAGCACTGTCAAAACTCATTGTACTGGGTACGTTGACAAGAGAGTTTGTCACGAATGACGACACAAGATATAATTTTCTATGGAAATAGATGTTTTCTGCATTCTATAATCTTTTCTCATTTGGCACCAGACAAACCAACACCGCCGCAATACCCCGTGGACATACTGGAAAGTGGTGTAACATCTGTTGAATTCAAATGGAAAGCACCAAAAGACAATGGTGGATGCCCAATCACAAACTATATCATCGAGCGGCAACAACTGGGGAGAAACAAATGGTCGAAGCTTGGAGAAATCCCTGGAAACCCGACTTACAGAGATTCAGATGTGGACCCTGGAAGGAGATACAGCTATCGGATCAGAGCCAAGAACGCTGAAGGGATCAGCGATTACCTGCAGACAGAAGACATAGCAGCTGGTGTATTACGTGAGTTTCTAGTTGGAAGTAAATTTTAAGCCTTTAGTGGCGGTCAAACCAAAAATAAGAAATTAATACGTATATATATATATATATATATATCACTTTTGCTTTTGCTGACATTATGAGCATCTTTAAGTACTTAACTATTTTATTTTTTATCTCACAAAGCCGTGAAACCGTTATGTAGATCTTTACCGCAATCGCCACAGATGAGTCAGCCATTTTTTTTTAAACGTAAACACTGAAGGAAATCACCTTTACACACAGATGAACTTGCAAGTTTACTATTTAGTTTGACACTTGTATGGCACTTATGCTCTATTGTTGTTGTTGTATATCACTTACATATTATTTACTATGTCACAGGCTCTGTGATATGTTTTGGTTTCGGAAACAAATCAAACAAGAGAGAAATGTATAAAGGCAGCGTCTAATATGAATATTTTATTCCCATCCCCCCCACCTCCCCCATCCACCAGGTTATCCCGGACAACCATCAACACCTAAAGTGGTGAGTGCCTTTAAAGACTGCATCAATCTGTCATGGTGTCCTCCATGTGACACTGGAGGGACCAAAATAGTCGGATACAATCTGGAAAAGAACAAGACAGGCACAAATTATTGGAGCCTTGTAAACCAAAAGGGGCCAATAACAGGTATAATTTGTTGACCAAACAGATTAGCATGAGCGTTGTGAAAAGTATATGCACTTATCAATGGAAATAAAGGCCGATATCATGCCTGCTACTCTCTGTTTGCACAGACACAAAGTTTGCCGTGACAGATGTCTTTGAGGGTGCAGCATATCAATTTCGAGTGTCTGCCATCAATCTGTCTGGTGCTGGAGATCCCAGTATTCCCTGTGACACAGTTACAGCAAGAAATCCAATGAGTGAGTTCATACATTCTGATTCAGCTCTGCTTGCTCAAAGAAAACAAAAACATTTTCCATCAGCACTATTAAGTATCACAAAGTTTCTTTCTTGTAACAAAATATAAAGTAACACTCTCTCATTGCTGTCATTTCAGAACCCCCAGGCAAAGTGACAGATCTCAAATTAACATCGTCCAGTTATACTAGCTTTTCACTGGCTTGGATAAAGCCCAAGGAAGTAAAAGGAGAACAAGATGAAGCCCAAGGGTACTTTGTGGAGATCAGACCAATAGAGTGCCTTGAATGGACCCGCTGTAATGCCATCCCAGTTACTTTGACGTCTTACACTGTGCTTGGCCTTAAGGCAATGGCCACATACTGGGTGAGAGTAATTGCTACAAATTATGGAGGTGATGGAGAACCTCAGGGCTTTGACAATTATATCATCGCCATGCCACCTCCAGGTAAGGAGTAGATCCAATTTAAGTTAAATGAAACTGCATGGAAGAATAAAATGGTTTAAACATATAATTCCCTTCTATTTCTAAAGATATTCTTCAAAAAAGTTGTTTCCTTAACAACAGAAGTAAATGTTTTGTTTTGTTTTTCCCAAAAGAGGAAAAGCTGTTTCCTTGTATTTTCTCTGGTTTAGAATGTTGCCTCATTTCATGGTTTAGTTTCAGAAGTTAAAGGTAGAATAGTGCCTAATAACACTGTGGAGGGTGTAAAATGATCTTTTAAAAGCCCAACATGAACGAACTGCAACACTGATTTTCAAATACACAATTGCAGCCATTGCATTATAGGTCCAGCTGTAAGTATTAACTAGCTGCAAGAGTCTGTATGGATATGGACTCACACCGCTGCCTTTTGTTAATTCGTCTATTTACTGTGGTGTACAAAGAGAGCCCAGAAGGGAGCACAGATGGGGGTGTGTTATTGGTCAGCTGATGCATCTGGAGTGGAAAGAGTAACAATAAACAATCCCACATCACCATCACATATTATATCCTCCATAAATGAGACCAGAAATGAATAATAGTGAAATGAAATTAAACTGTCACTGTAAAAAAAAAAAAAAAGGAAAAATTATTCAAATATTTTATATCTAATCCACAGTAAGGCCCAAATTTAAAGGTCGCAACATGAAGACCTTTATGGTGGTAAGATCTGGAAACACTGTTCGCCTCAACATCAACTTTGAGGTAAGTTGTGCCGAGACACAGCTGCAGGGTTTACAGGATGATTGGTTTCAGTTAACTTTTCTGTTTCTTTAGATGAATATATTCTTTACTGTGTGCAGGCATCCCCACTGCCCGAAATTTCCTGGGTGAAGGATGGTAGTCTAGTGGCCAAACATGTAACTATTACCAACTCTGATAAAGGCTCTCAACTGTTGATTCCCACATCTGAGAGGTCAGACAGTGGCATTTACACCATCACTGTGAAGAATCTTGTTGGTCACGAAAGCTTCAGTGTCGAAATCAGAGTTACAGGTAAAGATTCGTATCAATAAGCAACCTTTTTCCATTTAGCCAGTGGCTGCTGATTTAGGGCAATCTTTATGGTCGTACATTATTTCTGACTCATTGGGTTTTTTGACAGAAAAAATAGAATTACGAATGGGTTCATTAGCAAGTCAGGTGTACTGAAATGCTCTTTGACAGCAGGCAGAGGGGAAAAAGTGTAAACTGCTGACACTTTCTGACAGTATGTTCTGTAACATTAAAGCCAGAGAAGTGTGAGTATTAAATCTTGATTTAATCAAGAAACTTCATGGTGCAGAGGCAAAGATTCTGAAATTGCCCGTTATTGTCTACCTGTGATTCAGACTCTGTGACTTAATTAAAAATTATGTCATTTTAAATTAGCTTGTTTGTCCACAGAGATGTGCGCTCAAATTGATTTGGCTCTTATTGTTCAAGACTGAAAATAGGTATATAAGCAGGGAAATTTTATAAAGACACAATTCTGTGGCAAATGTCTGTGTATGCAATTTTCACAATAATCATTTTTTTTAAAAAGATGAGGCTCCACAGAATATTAAAAAATGGTGTCAAGGGGAAACACATGGCGACAAATAATCTAAACTCTGAGATGGTACTAGTTTATTCAAATGCATGTTCTTCTTCTTTGCTGCCAAAAGCTCTTAAAAACTCTCACATCAAAGTTAGTTTTTTTATCATCAAAAATTCTCAAACACAATTCTCAGGTTTCTCTCAAAACACTCTGTCCTTAAATGTAATTTAAACTTTCTATGTTTGGTTTTAATTTTTTCCTGACTATAATCGTTTGTATCTGCAAGTACAGTAGAGTCTGCATCACTCTACTGCCATCACTTGGTTAACAAAGACATTCTTAGAAGCCTGAAATGCATCATCACCCCCTTAACTTTTCCTACCCAGCTTTAAAAAGTTCAATCCAAGGTTGTCAATCAATAACCAAACCCCGGGATGTCTGTACTCCTTTTCCAGATGATCCTACACCTCCAGGTCCCGTAGAACTGGATCAAAATACCCCCGGAACAGTGACTCTCCACTGGGCTCCTTCTCCAGACGAGAAGAGAGATGACAGGCTACACTACACCGTATCCAAGAGGGACTCCTTCAAACGCGCCTGGAGGACAGTGGCAGACAACCTCTTCAACAATAGGTTCACAGTGGTCAATATAATGCCTGGAAGGGAGTATTTCTTCAGGGTGTTTGCAAAGAACGACATGGGGCTTTCAGCACCTTCTGAGTCTCCAGCCTTTGCAATCAAAAAGGAAAGAGGTTCGTGTCAAAATCAGTTCTTAATCGTCCAGTTTTACTGAAAGCACATCACTGAGTTTGGTGGAAGTTTTGTGAGTGAACAATATAATTCCTCTGTACTGAAGCGGCACATTTCCAAGGCAAAAAACTTTCAGAATAAATAAAAAAGTAATAGATACTTAATTTCCTGGGGGAAACCTTCTGACAAGATTGATAAATAAGGCTTTAGAGAGAAATAAAATGGACGTCGGGGACAAAATGCAAAAAACATCACTTGGTGGACATATTTCCAAATATGATTGTATGAAGTGCACTTTGATCACCAAAATCAGAGTATCTGTCTTTGGAAAAGGAAATGATGCATAAGTTAATTTACATACAGAGCTGTGGAGGGAGGTCTGCTGAGTTCTGGTCACTGTACATCTTTCTTAATGTTGTTTGTGAAATTTCAAACCATTAACTGTATGAATCCATCAGTGGAAGCTCAGAAAAGAATTTAGAGGGAGATTAATATTTATTGGTTCCAAAACACATATCTGTTTAAAAAATTGGTTGCAACAGAAAGCAGTTTCAGAGAAAATATTTGTCTCCATCATTAATAGCATCGCAAACTCTAAACCACATTAAAAAGAATCCTTAAATACTTTAAAAGGCATGTTTTATTACAATATTGGCTAACTTTATTTCTGTGTGTTCCAGGAAAGTTGAAAATAGACGTGCCCCAGGTTAAATCCTTGGACTTTGCGTCTCCCCCATCGTTTATTGTCCCCCTAAAGAGACGCACAGCTCCTCGAGGGTACGAATGCTACATGAGCTGTGCGGTAAAGGGGGATCCTGCTCCACGCGTGACGTGGTACCGCAACAATATCAGCCTCAACACCAACACCAACTACCTAATCACAAGCGTTTGCGGGGTCTGCTCTTTGCTCATCCTGCGGGTGGGTCCTAAAGACGACGGAGAGTACAAAGTCGTGATACAGAACAAAATGGGGACAGCCGAATCCGCGATGACTCTGAGCGTCAGAGGTATGAGAAAGGTTTCAGCTTCCTAAAGTTTTCTGTGGACAGCTGAGTGGATAGTGTGGAGATAAACAAGTCGACGATGTAAACGTCTTTTATCTTTGCAGACTGAAGTGGAGCTGTGGAAGGAAGAGGGAACCTGAAACTACAGATTTCTCACTGAACTGGGAACTTGTATGTCTTTAAAATCAAACTTTTGAAATAAAAAAAAAATCTTGCCTAATTTCAAGGAGTGATAAAAATGACTTTATGGTTATGAAAACATGAGCTCAAAT